TAGTTGAAAAAAAAACATAATTTATTAATACGTACTGTTTGATAGTTATGTAGCATTTGAAGTGGCTATATGTGTGCTCTCTGGGTGTGTATTAATTATATTTGTAGTAACAATATCGCTGATGTTACTACTACGACTACAGTGGTCAACCGTATCAAATAGTAATAACAATAACACAATCATTATATGTGCTAAACCCTGTATGGATCATATAGCAAAACTATCCAGACAGACATAAATAAACAGTTCAACAGGATCCAATTTGTTTCCAAGTGCTATAATAATAATAATAATGTCTATTTCTACAAATATATGTACAAGGTGTACAAGCCTAGTTGACGTCACTGACATACTACTATATAAGAAGACCCTTGTTATGCAGAGCATTTCCAGCACATTAGGTCAGTTTTGTCCCCAGGATGCGACCCACACCAGTCCACTAACACCCGGATACCTATTTTACTGATAGGTAAATATGGACAGCAGATGTCTTAAGGAAACCCGTCCTAATGTTTCCACCCATACCGGGGATTGAACCCCGGACCAAAGTGTGTGTACCCGATTACGCTACCAATCAAGCTACGGGACACGCTCGATTACACCTGAGTGTGAATCTGATTCTCAGATATTTTTATAGTATGGGTAGACGGGTTAAAGGCGTCCATATAATGTAATTTAAGAGGATAATTAAAAAAAAGTCATCAACCTAGCATGCCTAGGCGTGCTAGTAGATTTCTTTGTAATTAATATCTTATAATATGCAAACCAAACATTGTAAACTCTGCAAGGAAATAAAAATTTTCATTTTCAAAAGAGGGGTATTCCCCCTTCCCCAACCCCCTTTACCCCTCACCTCCATCTCTCCCCCTTGAACGGTACCCGGAAGTTATCAATGTTCGTATCCAGTCATTGTGGCGTCATACCCACACACCGTAACATCTTCCTCTTCAATTTTGCCAACACTGTCGTTTAAAATTGTTAATATGCTGTCTATCAAGCAATTATCTATCTGCTTTCAGCAATTATGTTACAAGTTATGGCTCACACAGAAGACGATGGTCACGGAATCGAACACTCATTTAGATACAGTGACCGACGGCTTCTCGCTTGTCATATATATATAATATATATATAATATATATATATATATATATAATATATATATATATATAATATATATATATATATATATATATATATATATATATATATTATGTATATAGTTTGTCAGGATTAGCATAACTTCTAATATATCTCAAACGTAAGTTATAATCTCGTTTATTCAAGTGGTTCTCGTTAAGTTACGATTATAGATTAGATAAAAGAAGTGATGAATCTGATTCGGTTGATTTATCAACTTTGTGAACACAAGATGAAGTATCAACATAGAAGTGTATATTTGAGGCCACATGTGGCAGTGGAAAGTGGAGCAGTAATGTAGTCTGTTACTGCTGCTCTTACTGCTCTTGTCTGCTGCTCTTACTGATCTTGTCTGCTGCTCTTACTGATCTTGTCTGCTGCTCTTACTGCTCTTGTCTGCTGCTCTTACTGCTCTTGTCTGCTGCTCTTACTGATCTTGTCTGCTGCTCTTACTGATCTTGTCTGCTGCTCTTACTGCTCTGTCTGCTGCTCTACTGCTCTTTTCTGCTCTCTACTGCTCTGTCTGCTGCTCTTACTGCTCTTGTCTGCTGCTCTTACTGCTCTTGTCTGCTGCTCTTACTGCTCTTGTCTGCTGCTCTTACTGATCTTGTCTGCTGCTCTTACTGCTCTTGTCTGCTGCTCTTACTGATCTTGTCTGCTGCTCTTACTGCTCCTGTCTGCTGCTCTTGTCTGCTGCTCTTACTGATCTTGTCTGCTGCTCTTACTGCTCTTGTCTGCTGCTCTTACTGATCTTGTCTGCTGCTCTTACTGATCGTGTCTGCTGCTCTTACTGCTCTTGTCTGTGCTCTTACTTATCTTGTCTGCTGCTCTTACTGATCTTGTCTGCTGCTCTTACTGATCTTGTCTGCTGCTCTTACTGATCTTGTCTGCTGCTCTTACTGATCTTGTCTGCTGCTCTTAATGATCTTGTCTGCTGCTCTCACTGCTCTTGTCTGCTGCTCTTACTGATCTTGTCTGCTGCTCTTACTGCTGTCTGCTGCTCTTACTGATCTTGTCTGCTGCTCTTACTGCTTTTGTCTGCTGCTCTTACTGCTCTTGTCTGCTGCTCTTACTGATCTTGTCTGCTGCTCTTACTGATCGTGTCTGCTGCTCTTACTGATCATGTCTGCTGCTCTTACTGATCTTGTCTGCTGCTCTTACTGATCGTGTCTGCTGCTCTTACTGATCATGTCTGCTGCTCTTACTGCTCTTGTCTGCTGCTCTTACTGCTCTTGTCTGCTGCACTTACTGAACTTGTCTGCTGCTCTTGCTGATCATGTCTGCTGCTCTTACTGATCGTGTCTGCTGCTCTTACTGATCTTGTCTGCTGCTCTTACTGATCTTGTCTGCTGCTCTTACTGATCTTGTCTGCTGCTCTTACTGCTCTTGTCTGCTGCTCTTACTGATCTTGTCTGCTGCTCTTACTGATCATGTCTGCTGCTCTTACTGATCGTTGTTCTGCCTGCTCTCTTACTGATCATGTCTGCTGCTCTTACTGATCGTGTCTGCTGCTCTTGCTGATCTTGTCTGCTGCTCTTACTGATCTTGTCTGCTGCTCTTACTGATCTTGTCTGCTGCTCTTACTGATCTTGTCTGCTGCTCTTACTGCTTTTGTCTGCTGCTCTTACTGATCTTGTCTGCTGCTCTTACTGATCTTGTCTGCTGCTCTTACTGATCATGTCTGCTGCTCTTACTGATCTTGTCTGCTGCTCTTACTGATCTTGTCTGCTGCTCTTACTGATCATGTCTGCTGCTCTTACTTATCTTGTCTGCTGCTCTTACTGATCTTGTCTGCTGCTCTTACTGATCGTGTCTGCTGCTCTTGCTGATCATGTCTGCTGCTCTTACTGATCGTGTCTGCTGCTCTTACTGATCTTGTCTGCTGCTCTTACTGATCTTGTCTGCTGCTCTTACTGATCTGTCTGCTCTACTTATCTTGTCTGCTGCTCTTACTGATCTTGTCTGCTGCTCTTACTGATCTGTCTGCTGCTCTTACTGATCATGTCTGCTGCTCTTACTGATCGTGTCTGCTGCTCTCTGACTGATTCTTGTCTGCTGCTCTTACTGATCTTGTCTGCTGCTCTTACTGATCTTGTCTGCTGCTCTTACTGATCATGTCTGCTGCTCTTACTGATCTTGTCTGCTGCTCTTACTGATCATGTCTGCTGCTCTTACTGATCGTGTCTGCTGCTCTTGCTGATCTTGTCTGCTGCTCTTACTGATCTTGTCTGCTGCTCTTACTGATCATGTCTGCTGCTCTTACTGCTCTTGTCTGCTGCTCTTACTGATCATGTCTGCTGCTCTTACTGATCGTGTCTGCTGCTCTTGCTGATCTTGTCTGCTGCTCTTACTGATCTTGTCTGCTGCTCTTACTGCTCTTGTCTGCTGCTCTTACTGATCATGTCTGCTGCTCTTACTGATCTTGTCTGCTGCTCTTACTGATCTTGTCTGCTGCTCTTACTGATCATGTCTGCTGCTCTTACTGATCGTGTCTGCTGCTCTTGCTGAACTTGTCTGCTGCTCTTACTGATCATGTCTGCTGCTCTTACTGATCGTGTCTGCTGCTCTTACTGATCTTGTCTGCTGCTCTTACTGATCTTGTCTGCTGCTCTTGCTGAACTTGTCTGCTGCTCTTACTGATCATGTCTGCTGCTCTTACTGCTCGTTGTCTGCTGCTCTTACTGATCATGTCTGCTGCTCTTACTGATCTGTCTGCTGCTCTTACTGATCATGTCTGCTGCTCTTACTGACTGTCTGCTGCTCTTGCTGATCTGTCTGCTGCTCTTACTGATCTTGTCTGCTGCTCTTACTGATCATGTCTGCTGCTCTTACTGATCGTGTCTGCTGCTCTTGCTGATCTTGTCTGCTGCTCTTACTTCTGATCTTGCTCTTGGCTGCTCTTACTGATTTGTCTGCTGCTTTACTGTCTGTTGCTGCTCTTACTGATCTTGTCTGCTGCTCTTACTGATCTTGTCTGCTGCTCTTACTGATCTGTCTGCTGCTCTTACTGATCTTGTCTGCTGCTCTTACTGATCTTGTCTGCTGCTCTTACCTTGCTCTTGTCTGCTGCTCTTACTGATCTTGTCTGCTGCTCTTACTGATCATGTCTGCTGCTCTTACTGATCTTGTCTGCTGCTCTTACTGATCTGTCTGCTGCTCTTACTGATCGTTGTCTGCTGCTCTTACTGATCATGTCTGCTGCTCTTACTGATCTTGTCTGCTGCTCTTACTGATCATGTCTGCTGCTCTTACTGATCTTGTCTGCTGCTCTTACTGATCTTGTCTGCTGCTCTTACTGATCTTGTCTGCTGCTCTTACTGATCTTGTCTGCTGCTCTTACTGATCTTGTCTGCTGCTCTTACTGATCTTGTCTGCTGCTCTTACCGTTGCTGTTACTGATGTCTCCGCTGCGGCTACTTCTCTGGCCTATTGCTCCTTAACAATAATAATGGCAGTCACAGGTCGCACGTGGTGTTATAGTAATTATCACTTTGTGATTAATACTCCTGTGGGGGAAGGTAGCAGGGGGAGGTTTGATCCCAGGAAATGGAGAGATTCACAGCTACCCAAAAATCGAAACTGAAACCTAGACATTTGGGTCCACATCCTGGACCACTCTCAACTTCAACATTTCAGTCCATCCTGAATCACTGTCAGCTCTTATGTGCACAGAATGATTCGTATTAAGAAATATTAATTCTCGACTTGATAATGATTCAGGAAAGATCGAAACATCGTCTAGTTTCCCTCTTTATTGTGTATTAGTTGTAAATTATTTCAGCCACAGTTTTGTGAGTTTTTTTCCTTTAAGGGAAGGACTGAATCAGCTCCGGTTCCTCGGATCAAGAGTTCTACACTACGGTGAAAGTGCAGTGAATGACTCACCTGGTATAGGGAAGGGTTGGGCCAGGGTTGGCCGGAGGAAAGGAGCTACGGGCGGCCCGAAGCCCTGGTGGGCGGAGACAGTAACATCGAAGATGTCTCCTGGGCCGCCCACATCGTAGGGTACCACCGTGCCCGTGATGACATGCCCAGGGCGGTACTGGGGGTCGTCCAGCACCACCCCGGGGCGCGGGGCGGCATCTGGGGGTATGGAGGGGCGAGGGCTGGTTGACCAGAGGGCGTCAGTGGGGGCGGTGGTGGAGGTATGGTGGAGGTCGTCTGGTGTTGACAAGGACCACCTTATGATGGTGGAGGATGACTCCGGCATGGAGGAATGCAGCTCCTTAGTGCTCTCAAGTGTCTCTGTCTTGTTCCATGATACTGGCACAAGTCTTGACGTACTCTCCGACGCATCTACACCTGTTGACGTACTGGACACATCTGGAAAGCCCGTTGACGCACTGGTCGCAGCATCTGTTGTACCTGCTAGGACACTAGCGTATGCATCTGTTACCTCTGTTGAGACACTAGTGTATGCATGTGTTACTTGTGTTGAGACACTGTTGGATAACTCTGACACGAGTGTTGTTCCGGTGGTGTGAGTGACGGTGGCGTCAGACATCAGGTGATCTACCAACAGCGTCTCCGACGACGCAGCGGTGGTGGGGGTAGGTGTGGCGGTGTCTGTGGTAGAGGGCGAGGCGGTGTTGGAGGAGGCAGGCGGAGCGGTAGCGGTGGTGGTAGGCGGGACGGTAGCGGTGGTGGCAGGCGGGGCGGTAGCGGTGGTGGCAGGCGGGGCGGTAGTGGTGGTGGCAGGCGGGGCGGTAGCGGTGGTGGCAGGCGGAGCGATGATTGGGGTGGCAGGAGGGGTGATGATGGGGGTGGTTGGAGGGGCAGTGATGGGATGAGTGTATCCTGAGGGTACATCCTGCAGGGAATCCTCTCCGCCATAGTCCTGGAAAACAGGGTTGACGGTGATCTCTGGAGAGGCGTTATACACTTCGTCAGGGCCAGGGAGGAGGTCCACGGGAAGAGGGATGCCGGTGACATATGGGCGCTGGAGGGGCGGAGGTGGGCGCGAGGAGAGAGAGGGCGGTAAGGCAGCGAGGAAGGGCGGGAGAGTGTTAGCTACGAACTGTGGCTTGCCTGGCAGTGGTCGCAAGTTGGCCATATTGACTGGAGGGGTGACTGGAGGTCTGACTGGCAGAAGGGTGTGCACAGGGGAGGAGAGCACACCGAACGGAAGTTGGGTGAGCCTGGGAGGCCCACGATTGTTGATGCGAGTGCTGGAAATGTCAGCGAAGGTAGTTAGGCGGGTGTTGGGGGCCTCAGCCACCGTCATCTTGACGTTCCCACCCAGCAACTGCACAATGCCCTTGATGATGTCGTCGATGTCTGGCTCTGGCTCAGACTTGCGCATGGACTTCCTGAGGTCGGTAGGGAGGCGCGAGTCTCCACCCATGAAGGTGGCGAAGTCGTCGGCGGGGAGAAGGGAGGGAAAGCTGCGGTACTGTTCGGTCACCGCCACCTCGTTGAGGTGCGCTGGCGTGGCGCGCAGGTCGGCAGACACTGTACGAGGGAAGCGGTGACTCGCCGACTTTGAATGATGTTGCAGCGACTCGTCGTCGTAGTACACTGTCGCTGTGTTCACCACCGTCTCCACGATCAGCTCGTAGTCTTCACCCATCACAGAGTCGTATGTGTCTTCAAGGTTAACAGCTTCGTCGTTTTCCGTCGCAGAGTCGTCAGCAGATACTGTCACTTCCTCCTTCATCGATGTCGTCAGCTCCAGTGATATTCCATTGTGACTCGTGTCAACATCAGGATCACCTGTGTGAGTGACACTACTTGAGATGGTCTGCCGCTGTAGTGTTGATGTAGGTGCCAGCGAGCTTAAGTCCTCTAGCAAGACCTTAGAAGTTAGGATGATGTAGGACACAACGTCGTCTTTCAGGGTCAGCGTAGGCTCTAGCATCACTGTCTCGTCCTCTTGGTCTTCCTGGAGGCTGAGGCTAGGAAAACTTATCTCGTTCTCAATCTCAGGACCTGCCATGTTGTTCCACTTTTAATGTTGAGGCCACACTGTCCGCTAGCGATATTTTTACTGTAATCGCCTCCATCTTACTTCTCTCACTGGCTTCTGTTGTTGTAACTACAGCATCTGACAGTGAAGTTTCATTACCACCATTGTCTGTGAGAGTGTGTACTAGATTCACTGCATTATCTACCAGTGAAGACACTGCAGCAGCAACCTCTCTGATTCTATCAACGCCATCTTCCATTATCTGCCTCACATTATCTTCCTGTATCAGACTTGTATCAGTTACTGCATCTTGTGGTACATCAACACCATGAGTGACACCATCTAGCGCTGTGACACCATCTTGCACTGTGGTTATCACTGTATCACTATTTACGCTAGTCACATCATTACCCTGAGGTGTGAGCACCAAGACATCGTCATCCGCACTAGTTACAAACATCGTGGCGCCATCCGAAACCAGAGGCACCATATCTAACACGGTAGGCGTAACGCCGTCTGTCATTACATCTGGCACTGTAGTTACTACTTCATCGCCACTCGTAGCACTCTCTACAATATTCCCGCCATCCTCAGGCACAGTGTTTGTCACAAGATCTGCGTTTACACTTTGTACTGTCACTAGTGGTATTTCCCCACCTTCCGTGGCACTTTCCCCAGCGACAGTAGCACCATCCCCATCGACAGCGCCATCAGACATGCCGCTAACATTGTCCCAACTTGTTATAATGCCAGTGCCAAAAGTGTCGTTATTCGTTTTGTCGCCCAAACTGTCACTTCTGTATGCCCCATTTTGTGGGATATTTTGCCCACTTGCCTCGTGCTCCACCAATCTAGTTGGTACTTGCGTCTCACTGTCCAACGACCACGACTGTGCCATGTCACCTGTGTCAGACCCTGGTATCCAGGTGTGGGTGTGTGGGGAGAGGGAGGCGTGTAACTGGTGGTGGTCGGGGGTCACCCAGGGGTCAGCTACCACCATCATCACATCTACAAAGGAGAGAGAGAGAGAGATCAGTATAATTACTCACCAGTACATATCCAACATTCACGTAAGCTGATACAGGAGAGCGAATTACTCATCAAGATTGTACAATTCAAACATAAAGCCATGTAGGAAAATTATTCAAACATGAAAATAAACTAAAACATACGAAAATGAATCCAAACATGTGAAAATAAACTGAAACAAACGAAAATAAATCCAAACAACCAAAACACCTATATTATATTGCCCTCATCACTCCATCTCCCTTCCTACCCCCTCACTCTTCCATTCCTGCCTTGCTCCCTCCTTCATCACTCACATCCCTTCCCTCCCATCTACCTCACCCCCTGTCCGTAACCTCTAGTGACCTCTTAAACCTCTGTGTCGCCCTGCACCAGAGGGTAGATCATCCTGCAGGTCAACTTGCTTACAAAGTACCGCTACACGACGCCATTACTGCATCGACCACTGAAAACACTTTTGCTGAGTATACATACACAGAGAAAGGTTAAATAGGATGTGTGTGCGTGTGTAAAGAGAGGGAGGAGAGGGAAAAAATTTTTTAGTTGCATGAGCTACAGTGGTTAATAAATGATACTTTTGTTCTAATACTCGTGTTTGCAAAAACAAATCTTGTATCCTTTCGTTAATGCCTTTTGTTCCTTGATCATGTGAATATACTACACACGCCCTTATATATAATAATACAAACAGTGAAGTGATACATTCCTCACAGTCCTTGGAAAAACAAGTTCAATAATTCGTTGGTATTTCCTGTGTTCATCTTCAACATTGCAAAAATAACCTCGACCATCACTTGCAATGCTACCATCAATTTACGAGTGCCTGGGGCTGTTAGCAATTATCGACGCAGCAAGGTTGCTCCCACAATGCAATTTTATTTAACCTTTACCCCTATGGTAAAGCATAACCCCGCGCCCTTTAGCATCCGCAGCTGGCTGAGGCTGAGAACTGCTTGAGAGAATTACAGGAAGCACTGGTTGGAAACAACACGCCCAGATTTCCAGTGACGGGGGAGCTTCCTCTGGCAACATCAAACCTGTCACTTTTTATATTAATTCCTAATATTTGTGTCTCAAACCATCATGCCATTTAGTTTGACAATATTCTCGGTCTAGCTAGAGACCTTCATGAGATACTAAACTACGGAAGCCGTTACATATGCAACCATATAAAGAGGATCAATCCCAACTGATTTAGCATCGCCTAGAGGCCTCTAGACCTAACAGAACATCTATAGAAATACACAAATAAAAATAACTAAACTGGCCTCGCCCCTCCACCAACAAAGCTTCAAACAAGTGAAATTTGCTTCCAGATATTCAGACTCTTCGTCGCGAGGCATATTATGCAATTTTAAAATGTCGTGAGGCTATTTCAACAATGAAATTGTATGTTTAAGTGTGAATTCTCATGTTTTTTTTTTTCATGTTTTTTTTTCCTATAATTTTTGTTGCCCTGCTCTGGCATGATGTAGCTATCTTCTTAAAAAAATAATTTCTCCTGTGTATGAAATAGGTTATCCTTGGCGATGGTAATTCCCAAGTAACTGGAAGGAAACCTCTGAAGCTGCCACAGCTGATGAACCTTTAAAGGAATATACGTATATACAAATAAGTTAATAAGGGATCAAATGCCATTTGTAACAAATGTCGCTACTCTCATGTTTTACATTGTGAGTTTTACTCCTGGACAAGACAAGTGTCTTTGTCTTGTTCCTCTGCTGGAAGTATTTCCACTATTGTTTATTAATGTTTTGTATTTCATCGACGTAAAGTCTACCAGCTCAGGCTGACAGATTTCAACACTGTATAAGACCCACCCATGTGATGGAATATACAAGGAAATATAGCATTTGTTCCCACTATGTAGCTATCATACAGTATATGCTGTAAAAGAAAGGTAGTAGCATTGCTGATGTATCCAAATTTGTAAAAAAAATAAAACCTTTCTCAAAAACCCTCTCCTCCTTCCTCCATCATTTAAACATCTTTTGCCCATCCCCATCACATTTAAGCATATCTAGACATTTACACTTCCAGTCCTCAAGGTCACCTGGCTAACTCTGAAATTCCTAATAAACTAACAACTCACTGCTACTTCAGGGGCAAACCTCAGGTCTTCCCTTCCACTCCCACGTGCACGCACATGCACACACACACATGCACGTACACACGCACGTACACACGCACGTACACACACGCAGGAGCTGTGACTCGACTCCTGCAACCACAAATAGGCGAGTACAAATAGGTGAGCACACACACACACACACACACACAGGGTGTGTATCGTGAGAGTTCCCTCAGGGTAGCATCGTATTCCACACTTCAGTTCCGCCTGTGAAGACTCGCCTCACTCTCAACTCTTGCTTTCTTAATGCACTTCCCCTCCACCTCTGTATTCTGATCCTCTCTCTCCACACACATACACTAGTAGCGACTAGCGAAGAGGCGGGGCCAGGAGCTAAGACTCGACCCCTTCAACCACAAACAGGTAAATACACACACACAGAATATTGTAACTTTGAAATCCTTGATGGTGGAGACGTCATCAGTATCGTGGCCATGACTGCAAGGTGAGAGAGCCTTGACCACCACCTCAAGGACAACGTGCAAACCAAGAAGACATACAAGGAATGTGATAACTTCAAGGCTAAGATAACACAAGACATTAAGAGATATACCGAAGATAACTACCATCACAAGGGAGAGAGAAAGTACAAATAAAAGGACTACGAGGAGTACAAGATAAAAGATAATACAAGACCTTTCCCGTAAGGCTTACGGTATGTACTAAAGTTTGCTACTAAGAAACCCGTCTCATATTCCGTTGCTATCTAAACAGATGACGCCAAGACAGTATATCAGAAGGCTCTCTCCTCATTCTTCATTCCCCAGCCACTCGGGTGAACATGTGGCCGGAAATACCTTAATTTACTGAGAAAGTTGTTGGCAGGGAGAATAAGGAGGATGTAGTGTGGGAATTTTACAACATTACTACGTTTATATGCATACATGTAGTAATGCAATAAGATCACAGTAAACAGGCGATGTCACAATATATAGTTCCTTGATAATGTGAGAAATCACGAAACCGCTTGGAATTTCACTATTTTTTCACAGGAATTATTCTGCATATGTAGCAATATGTGTTTTTTTTCGATTACAAATCATTCTTTAAAAAATATATAGGCTGAGAGCTGTTATCCTCCCTCAAAAGACAGCACTTACTAGAGTCGGCTGGCACCTAGGTATTTATTTTCAGCTAGGTGTACAAGGGCACTTGATCATTCGTCTTACGTCGCCAGCGAATCAAACCCGAGTCCTTTAATATTTATTGCAGGAACTGTTTTTTTTTTACAGGGCACATAATCTTGGATAGTGGCCCTACACGTTTTAATTTACTCGGATGCTGCAGATGCCAATCCATGTGTATAGTTCGCCCTTGGGTCTACACTGCTACCTGGCTGTAGAGTTTACTGTGTATTATGAAGGAACAAGCAAAGAGCTTTGCGGGGCCGCACTGGTCCGTGTCATGATCATCACGTTCAGTTCTGAGTAACTAATATTACAAAGGAAGAATATGACTTGATAGAATCTGTGATGGCTGTTGTTGTTACTTCCCTCATAACATGTGACTGAACTATGTGATCACTGTTGTTCACGTTCACTCTTCTCATATGTAAGAATTTCTGCTGTGCTCCCGTACTTGCTTGCTGGACGCCATCTCATATACAGATTTACTGTAGCTTCCAGGTACAAGTGTCGAGGCCTTCAGAAGGAAACTGGACAAGTACCTCCATCAAGTGCCAGATCACCCTGACTGTTATGGATATGTTGGCCAGCGGGCTGCCAGCAGCAACAGCCTACTTGACCAGGCAAGCATGAGACAACCCTGGTCTAGGGCAGGGCTCCTACAGTAGAAAAACTCTGGATACTCATCAAAGATATATAAAAGCTTAGATCTCCACATGTCTAGTTATCACTGTTCTCTTATTTCCTTATCGATGGAGTCACTCATGATTAGTACTGTATTGAGCCTATGGTGTGTCTGTTGCTTCTACCATGATGGTTACCAGGGTTCTCGTGCTCCTTGCGTGTCTCTTGCTTCTACCATGATGGTTACCAGCGTTCACGTGCTCCTTGTGTGTCTGTTGCTTCTACCATGATGGTTACCAGGGTTCACGTGCCCCTTGTGTGTCTGCTGCTTCTAAGATGATGGTTACCAGGGTTCTCGTGCTCCTTGTGTGTCTGTTGCTTCTACCATGATGGTTACCAGGGTTCTCGTGCTCCTTGTGTGTCTGTTGCTTCTACCATGATGGTTACCAGGGTTCTCGTGCTCCTTGTGTGTCTACTGCTTCTACCATGATGGTTACCAGGGTTCTCGTGCTCCTTGTGTGTCTGTTGCTTCTACCATGATGGTTACCAGGGTCCTCGTGCTCCTTGTGTGTCTGTTGCTTCTACCATGATGGTTACCAGGGTTCTCGTGCTCCTTGTGTGTCTGTTGCTTCTACCATGATGGTTACAAGGGTTCTCGTGCTCCTTGTGTGTCTGTTGCTTCTACCATGATGGTTACCAGGGTTCTCGTGTTCCTTGTGTGTCTGCTGCTTCTACCATGATGGTTACCAAGGTTCTCGTGCTCCTTGTGTGTCTGCTGCTTCTACCATGATGGTTATCAGGGTTCTCGTGTTTCTTGTGTGTCTGTTGCTTCTACCATGATGGTTACCAGGGTTCTCGTGTTCCTTGTGTGTCTGTTGCTTCTACCATGATGGTTACCAGGGTTCTCGTGCTCCTTGTGTGTCTGTTGCTTCTACCATGATGGTTACCAGGGTTCTCGTGCTCCTTGTGTGTCTGTTGCTTCTACCATGATGGTTACCAGGGTTCTCGTGCTCCTTGTGTGTCTATTGCTTCTACCATGATGGTTACCAGGGTTCTCGTGCTCCTTGTGCGTCTGCTGCTTCTACCATGATGGTTGACAG